ATCGATATGAACACAGAAATATTCATCCCACCCAGGCGAGTTTCCTGGCAAACCTCATACGAACAGGCCCTAATACGATTTATCGAGTCCATATTTAATCCTAATTGAACTAACCTCCTGAGGAAACGACAAAGCGTTTTCAACTTTTTTTTCAGGTATAATTCGTGCGCACACACACAGCCACAGGGGGAGAATCCAGTTTATGTAAACTCGAACGGTCTTACGGTCTGTGAGTGTGCCAGCGCGTAGGTTGTGGCAATAAAGGTCGTTTTCCACTTCATTCTTCAACCGTATTGTAACGTGTTGTAGCATTTTCTTTCGTGTCAAATAAAGTCATTAGTCCCACTTTAGTTTAGTACTCAGCGGGAAACAAAGAAATATGCCACGCTTCAGCACGATACGGTTGAAGTGGAAAACGGCCTTGATTAGTAGCTGCTAACGTCCCGACCAAGGGCAACGGCCTTCGCTCGAAAGTCGAAACGTCGACGTTCTCTCTCAATCCCCTTATCCCCAGCTCAAAAGAGTAAAGTTGGGTTACTTCTTTTTTATATACCCCGAGTCCCGACCCTGTATTCCTTGAATACACGTAACGCCGGGACATAACTGTCGCCCTATTGGCTATTGTTTGAATTCTAGAGTCGCGAGAATAAGGCAAAGTGTTGTATTAGTTTGCTGTTTTTAAAATTTATTGCCCTTCAATGTCACAAATTAAAATACGAAACAGACTCAATTTCATCTTGCAAAACTAGAATTGAGACAAAGGAGCGAGCGAACACAAAAGTATTTTCAAAGTGATTTTTCAAATTTACTACAAAAATTCATTTTAAAAGTATATCGTAAATGCACATGAACAAAACAATGTTGTTGTATCCGGCCAGAACCAGCGTCATTATGATAAGCAAATTATTGAGGATTTGAGGGTGAAATTTTGATGACGAATCACTTAAATAAAGTGCTTAATAGTTCAACCATTTCCGGCTTTCTTTTCGATTCTACTTTGCTAAAAAGGGGGATGTACATATATCAATTCGGAAGATGAGCAAAATTTTACTATACTCTCAAATTGTAAAATCTCTCAAAAGAAACTTAATTAAAGGTAAAAGTCAGCATTTGGATCAGACGTGCAATTAAAGTTACATTTCAAATACGGGAAGAGATATAATTATAGGATGGAATTTTACATATCTAATTAAATTTTCAATTCCTGATATTAAAAATAAAAGTATACTTTACATGCTTGATGCAGGCGTGACGGCCGACAAGAAACGGAAAGGCCAACTTCAATGAAGGGCTGAAACAGACTGAACGTATGTCTGGAATTTGTAGGGCTTTTCCTTATGAGGCCCTCGTATTTCCTTGCCCTTGGGTCAGTTAAGCCTGTATCAAACGAGGATGGGAGTTAGTTATAGCTGTTCTTAGTAATGCTTTCCAAACACTCTCATGTATTTTATTTAGGTTAATAAAACATATATAGTTGGAACACTCTTCAAACCTTTATCTTATTAATCTAGAGCTTCGAATGTCCCCTGTAACAACTCGTGACAGGCAACTCTCATCACCTGTCATTCTCGGTTGACCAGTGCTGAGGGCCCCCTATACCTCTTCACAATATGCTTTCACGTAAAAATATTTTGCCTTTACACGAGTCACGGATTAAGAAAATCATCAATCACGTTTCACGGCTAAGTAAAATAAGCCCTTCACGCTTCACGCAAAAAGTATAGGGGGCCTGATCACGTTTCACGGCTAAGTAAAACAAGCCCTTCACGCAAAAAGTATAGGGGGCCCTCAGTGCTAAGGGACCGGTCATTATTTATGGTGGGGGGTGGCACCGAAGAGAAATGTTTTTCGTAGCAAAAATTTTGCTGACCCAACCATTACAAAGGCAAAAATTTGATTACCCAACCTCAAATATCAAGTAAAAAATAAATACCCATCCCTGGCCAAAATTAAACTTTACAAAAGATTACCATTCAGTTGTCACATATGTCCTTTACCCGATTTTTGTGACACTGAGGAGTTTGACTGAACTGCTTGTGAAATTTGCTGCAGTCTAATGTATCATGTTGTCTGCACATGTGCTTTCTTTGGAGACACCATTTGTCTTCTAACAAATTGGAAAATGATCAAGACAGTGACTGATTGATTCACATATTGTATTGACATATGACTATAACTGTTTATTACCCAACCCTTGAGTTGTTTTGTTTTTCATTTACCCAACCTTTTACTTACTCAAAATTTAGTTTACCCAACCATTTTCTCTTCGGTACCACCCCCCGCCATAAATAATGACCGGTCCCTAATGTCGACACGACATTTGTAGCATAGTTTAATACATAAGTGTGACGCACATGCTTATTCGTTTCAAAAAGCAGTAAGAAAAATATATGACAATGTCAATGTTGTTTTCGGTCTTAGCTTCATCTCATATTTTACTCTTTTCAATGACTATGTTTTTGCAATGAAAAGAATATTGAAGTTTCCCGGATGTTGTATAAAATTAACGTAATAATGTATTGGGCGCCATAACTGAATATATTTGTGTTTTATTAATTAACCAATACATATTGTTATAGTTTAGTACTATTACCGTCAGAGCAAACGACAGTCTAAAAGCGGCTCCGTCTAAAAACTAACAACTTCAGTCTAAAAACCTCGTCGTCCTCTATTATCCACACTTGTACTTCGTCGTCCTTTATTACCCCTACTTGTACGTCTCCGTCCTTTACTACTACGACTTGTACTCCTCTGTCTCCTTCTGCCCCTACTTGTACTTCGCCTGTCTTTATTATCCATACTTGTACTTCTTCGTCTCCGTCTTGACGTATCGCGTTCCAAACTCTTGCTTCTAATTCTACTTCTACTTCTACTTCTAGATTGGCTTCTTCCATCACTACCACTGTGACTTGTGCTCCTCCGACTTGTACTTCTCCATCCTCTACTACCCTGACCTGTACCCTTCCGTCCTCTGACAATCCTTGACCTATCACGTTTCGAACTATTGCTTCTACTTCTTGAGCGATCTCCTTCACTGCTATCCCTACTTGAACCTCGTCGACCTCTACTATCTCTACTTGTACTACTCCGTCCTCTGCTACCCTTACTTACACTTCTCCGTCCTCTGATGATCCTCGACCGATCACGTTTTAAACTATTGCTTCTACTTCTACTTCTAGAACGGTTTCTCGCACTGCTATCGCTGCTTGTATCACGGATATTCTTGCTTGCTTTCCTTTGCACGTTTTCTCCGTATATATTCTTTCTTGTTCGTTCATGACTGCTGTTGTCAGAACTGCTTCTTGTTCTACGTCTTACATGTCTATTTCTGCTTCGACGTTCTCGGCCTTTACCCTGATATTCTCCACTATCTGTATCACTTTCATTCCGATTGCTTCTCCTCGTTAGGGCCCCGTCTTTCTTTTCATGTGATTCACTTCGTGAACGAGAGCTATGCCGACGGGAACGTTCACGTCTATTCGCACCAGAAATATTTATATTTTCATTATTTACATTTCCCATTCTCTCTCTAATGTCTTCCATTGCTTTTACTCTTGCCTCTCTTTCCATCTCTTCTTCACCTCCTTCCCTTTCTCCAACCTCTTTCACAACTCCTCCTAAATTTGTTTCGACATCTCCTCTTCGCCCCACAATTTTCTTCTCTTTTCTATCATCACTCGTTTCAGAAAACCTCCGTTCACTTGCCACATACGACCCTCCAGTGTCGCTGTGTACGCCTGCTGCCACTGTGGCACTGCCGTTGTTGTCCAAATCCTGACCTAAGCCATAACTCATAGTATCAACGTTGCTTACAGGATAACTCTTTTCAAATGTTCCATCCTTAGCAAAAGTGCTCACTTTTTGGAGCAGGTTTGGTTGAGAAGCACATTCAGAAGTTTCAACGCTGATATTCGACTGCGTTGCTTCACCTTCAACGGCCTGTCTTAAACCAGGAACAACATTCTTATTTTCTCTTGGAGAACGTTCTTTTTCAATCCATTCACCACCATCACCATCACCATCAATGTCGTATCTCTCTGCTTCACTTGCAGTGCTTGTCTCACTTTCACTTCGACGTCTACGTTTCTTGCTTTTCACCTTTGCTTTCTTCTTTTTTCTGCAACAAAATAATGTTCCTTTGAAACAATTTATCATACACAAGAAGAAGTCTGTAATACACTGACTTGAAAGACCGAAAAGGTGTTCTTGTTAAAAACCGTGAGGCAGACTAGCTTTCAACTTGCGTTGAGATGTTTTCAAAACACTATCATAAAGACTTTAGTGTATGATAAAAGTTCTCAAACGAAACAGTGTTTAAAGAGAGTTCACTTAATGAATAATGGACCTACATATTACCTAATAACCAAAATTTTGATCTCAACAAGTCTAGACAAAAATTTCACCACAGCTTGAAAGAACATAACCAAATTAGTAATATTCCGAAGTTTCGTTACAAAATGTTGTAAAATGCGGGTAATATAGCCCTGCGAAGTTTGCCGTTTTTCAGTCATTTTGTATTACGCACGGGAAACTGATACCGCTTTCTGAAAAAAGGTATCAATTTCCCGCGCGTAATACAAAATGACTGAAAAACGGCAAACTTCGCAGGGCTATATTATCCGCACTTTACAACATTTTGCAACGAAACTTCGGAATATTACTGATTTTGTGATGCTCTGAAAAGCCGTGATGGAATTTCTGTCTAGATCAAAATTTTGTTCATTAGGTAATAGTTCCATTCGTGGGCGTTCACTACCATGAATTTCGTTTGCGCCTTGCTTATGTACTATTGATTTTGAAAAGTTATATAAGAACATCAAACATTTAACAAGTGGCGAAGCTACCCGTGGTCATACTATACATGCTAATAAACCTCATCTAAATACGTTAAAGACAATATATTTCTAATAGTTTGAATATAAATGCAAATCATTAAATATTTGCATAGCATGACCTGTTGCTATGGCTAGCTTCGCCACTGCAATTAACCATCATGCATGTAACTTGAACCAGCCGTTGGCTGCAATGATTTTACCTTCTTTAAATAAAGCTTTAATGTTAAATTTAAAAAATCGTAGTCTCACCTTTTTTTCTTTCGACTGCTTTTTACAACATCCGGATCTGACTTGATCAATTTCCTTACATGTTCAAACTTTTTTCGATTTTCTTGCAGTAAACTTGCTGCCTTTCGAGCTTTGTTTTCCTCTTCCGCCAACTCCATGGAGCAAAATGTTTGTTTAAAAATACAAGACGTAGAATGAAGCCGAGTGTGAAAGTGTAGTAGGTAAGATGGAGAATTTCACAATATAGCGCCAAAACAGGCGGCAAATGGATACAAAACAAAATATATCGATATAAAATACGATAGGTAAGAAATATATCGATAAGAAATATGAAATATGCAGGTGAAGTATGGGAGATGACAATGATTATGATTAAGATATGGAAATGAAATTTTCAAGCAGTGGCGATAATACAATGGAAATATATGAGATAGGAATATAAGTGTTGCCAGGGAACAATGAGTGTATTGTGTGGATAAAAATGGTCATAATAATAGAGCCATAATCAAAATCGATATACAAGGTTATTGCATATTTTACAGACATATTTTGTTTAAAAAAAACATAACAAATTTGACAATGATGATGTATGAAACACAACAACATACGTACAGTGAAAATATATAGTTATGATTTATACATACCACGAGAATCCATGTAAAAATACCATGAAATAATGAAATACATACCAGTTGAATTAACCAATACATACCATCATAGTATACATTTTGAGGAAATGATACAAAATGAGAAATATTGACCAAATAAAAACAGCAACACACCGCCAAGATACAGAACGCGAATGAACGACATAAAAGAGAAAAGACGAAATCAGGCCAAGTATAATATTATATACATATATCAAGTGCATAAAGTTTGGCGCACCTTAGCAGATAACAAAGATTTCAATTCTTTCAAATTTTCCTGGCTTTTAATACTGTCAGGGTCCAGTTCTAACACTTCTTCAAATATATTGATTGCTTCTCTCATGTTGCCAACATCTTTCAACCTTTGTAAAGAAAACCTGCGTGTTTAGCTGAATAATGCGTACTGTAGATTATGGTACACAATGGTACACTACTGTTTGGCATGCAATTGCATGTGTGTGATTGGCCTTGTCCAACACATACATATATTCACATAGCCATTCGCGATCATGACTAGCCTTGCATGAGAAAGATAACATGCAATACAACAATATGCATTGAATAGAATGTAAAAACATACAAACAACACAAAATAATCAAATTTACTCATGCTCACTGCTCACGCCATCTCATTTAGTCTGTACAGTATCTACAACGTACCTGAGTCCTTTCTCGAACAACGTTTCTTTCAGATACTTGCTTGCGTTGTGGTGTTTCGGCTGCAGTTTCAAAGCTTGCTTGAAATCTTTTATTGCATACTCCAATTTGTTTTGGTTCGCATATCTAAACGATATAGACAGGTGTGTTTGTGTCTAACCGAGAGAGTTACTTTTCTCGAACCATGGTTATTATTCAAGTAAATCTGCACTAGGCACCCACGTTTCAGGTATCTTTTTCGTGTAGTTCAGACTGTAAACCATGGGCCTGGCAAATTATTGCAGAATACTACTTATACACTGGACATGCAACGTTTGAGATATAATTGTCAGAGTTCGAAATAACGTTAAAAAAATGTGCCTAATTTTGTAGGCTGTTTTTTTGTAGGTTCAAATTCTTGCCGGCCGTTTTCAAAGTTCATGAGTAAATTTAGTATACACGTGTATACCTGGAAACAGGCCCTGCATTTGTAACGTCTCTATATTTACGTCATTGTATAATTACGCCGTAAAATGTACAAAATAAAATGCTCTTATTTAGTTATATTTGTGCAAAAATATTTTGTTAACTTTGGTGCTATATTATTGAATGAAAATGAAAAGCATGACCATAATTTCAATCTGAACAATTAATATGATTTAAGTTATATAAGTATAAACTTGAGTTTTAAATCAAAAATTGCCGGCTGAAGGTCATGAAACTGCCGGTTATCGCCGGTAGCTATTTCGAACCCTGGTTGTCATTTAGTTCAGACACAAACCACGGCACTTAATTGTAGAAAACAACCTACACTGGACCAGCACGTAACATAAAATATCTTTTTCAAATAGTTCGGAGACTAACGTCATTGTATAGCCCATTGTAGCATACTACCCACAATCAACCACCCTAAATTAGCTACTTATGTTGGACATATAGTATTTTAAGAGGAGACCTTCCTAATCTTTGTACAGTGTACGAATTCATGTAAACTACTATTTATCAAGAACAACAGTATATTAAATGTTACAGGTCGCTATACTTACAATGCACCACGCGCGACCAAGGCTTCAGAGTTTTGTTCGTAAATCTTTAAAGCATGATTGAGATATTTCAAAGCCTTCTCGTGATCACCATTCTTGAAGCTGTCCACACCAATCGCAGTTCTAGATATGCAATGAGAGTACAGCTTCGGATACACGAGCAATATTTTTGTTGCGATGGTTACGCAATGGGTGATAACAGCATTGCGTTGCCGTCGCACAAGGTGGCTACACCTGCAATATTTCACCTGCAATATATGTCTTTATAACGCTTTTCATTGGCTGGTCAAGAAACGTGTCATTCATCAACCTTGACCTTCCTTGACCACACCTCATCAACAAATCATCAAATGATTTGAAATTTCGGCAACGATTGCGCGCAGCTTTGCGTTGCCGTCGCAGAGCATGATACACAAGCAATTTCTTTCTCGCGACGGCAATGCAACGATTTTACCACCATTGCATTGCCATCACCAGAAAAGTATTGCCCGTGTATCCGTAGCTTATATGACTTGAGAACAATATTTGAACGGAGAGCATGGAGAACAGTGGGATTTGTAAGACAAAGACAATAAAACACTGCATTCCTAAGGCTATTGTTGTACAAAGGGTCAACTGAAAAAAGATATATTACAAAGACAACTCAAGCAAAACTTTATATAAGACGTAAATTCAAGCAAAACTTTATATAGACGTGCCATTATCAAGCTCTACTTGTCAATAACATATAACGCTAAGTTGTGGCTTTGTGATAAAAGTTTCGCTACAGGCTATTATTCTTCAAATTATACTAACGTATCCATTGACCATTTCTTAGACTGTTGTTTCCTCAAGATGTCTGCCTCTTTATCACTGAACGTCCATCTGAAATAAAACAAATTTCTCCTAAGCAATCTCAAAACAATTTTTTTCAACCACAATGGATTATGATCAAGATGTCGTCCTGGACTTGCTTTGAGGTCTCGCTCGAATTGACTTCATTTTTTATAGGATCTATCCAGTCTCTTATGAGATCAGTTGATCGTTTCAAGCCATGAACTGATCTCAAAATAGATCTCAATATAATACATAACTCAAAACATTTGCCAGAACAATAACGCTTTCTGCCAAAAAAACTTCAATTCTCTTCAATGCAAATAGTCATTAATCCTATACGTAGGCAAACTGTCAATAATTGTCTGTTGTGTCAGTATATTAAAGGGGCAGTGTCACGGCGCAGATTGGCCAGAATAAACGGCGCAAAGAAGCGTTTAAAATTAATGCTACGTGATTGGAAAAGATGCAGCGGCCTTCAATTTTTAAAACAAAGCAAGGATGTCCTGCATCATATAAAGAAGGGATTATAAAGAGTATATCGTATTTCACTCCTAACTTGATTAATTGTTGGCAGACAGTTTTTCAAGTTCGCGCATATTCTGGATGCGCAGTAGAACCGTGACACTGCCCCTTTAATTGTAAACACACTGTAAATATCACATATATATTCACTTTAATCTACCCATCGAAAACTGCAGACTGGCAGTCGAAAGCTCGTCCAAATAAATATTTTTAACCAGTGAACGTTTGAAAGTCTTAGACTGGATAGACCAACTGAAATTGAAACTGATCTTATAACAGACTGGATAAACTCTATGAAGCCAATAGTTGAGACAGACTAATGGAGCAAGTCTAGATGTCATCGCTACTTGTGAAATGATCCATCAACGTTCACATATTGACGAGGACACTAAGAAAGTCATCTTCATACCGTTGGCAAGATCTCAACAATGAATTCGGAGGTCTACTGTCAATTCCCAAAACATCAATCAAGGTCTCTACATTTGTTGGATTAGAGAATCCTGGATCTCTTCTCAAGTATTCATTATAATCCAAGTCATCATCAAATGACTTTGGTCTAAGAAAAAAAAGGAAAACTAATCAAGATAATCAACTCAAACCATTGAAGGCTCACTCAGCCATGGCCTTGTATTTTTTTGTTGGTTTGCACTATCAAAGTTTCGGTGATTACAGTAGGAATTTTGCATCGGTAAATTATAAGTTTTGAAGGATTTGTAAGAAATGTTTGAGGGAATTGACTCAGTGTTAAACAATTGCGAACCAAAAGCTTCCATGGTTTGTGTCTGACTGTCTGTCAGGGAACCTACAGTACAGTACTGTACATGTACACTGGATTGTTTATAAGCTGCAGGTTTTGCCAGAAAGTAGCCTACGTTGTAGACCCCAGCAGAAACACGTTTCGTGAGGGGTCTACGAATAAACCATAGAAATATTAGACATAGAATGCGTGCTAATGACGAATCATGTCTCCACTTTTTCAGGTGCGTGCCCTTTTGAATGCGCCATTTTGAATTTTGGCCAGGAGTGCAAACTACAAAGTATAAACAAAGCTAAAGTACGTTTTCATCGTCAAAACGTTTTGTCTTGTTGTCTAATTTGTAGTTTGGGGATAGATTTTGAGTTCCTTGAAGGCACAAACTGTCAAAGCAAATGTGCAGTTACAAAACACTATGAAAACAGTGAAAATCGTGCAGCCTTTTAAAAGCAAAGTAGTTTCGCGAAAATATAATTTACTCAAAACATTTTTGCATGCTCTAAACGTAACTGTTTTGCTAATATCTTATAAGATTACCAAATGATAGTTCTTTCTTCGTCGGGTTTCGTTTTTCTGCAATGTAAACGAAGTGTTTTCATGTTCTTGAAACATTTTATAGTTGTCGATAAACTGTAAAATTGCCAAAAATAATCGTCGAAAACCATGGTTTTAAAAGCGTTGCCTTAAGCTCAAGCAACGTAGAAAAATATGAAATATAATTGTGTAAGTTTAAAAAGATTATTGAACTCCATTTATATTGTAAAAGAGTTGAAATATTTGTAGAACATACCTATTGAGTTTGTCTTGATCTTTTGTGTTTTGTTTTGGCTTGCACAACAACATAACGTTGAAAATGTATTTTTAAACGACGATTTCTGCATATATTCTGTTCAGAACTATTGCTTTTCGTAAAAAAAACCACTGGAATGGATTTTTAGACACTTTTCCTTAGTTTACCAAACTGTTTTTCCATTTTAAGTCCCGATATAAAATTTTTTGAAAACTTTTCAGTTGAAAAAATAATTCGCACTCCGTGCAACCGCGCGAAATTCCCTGCCTCAGGAGTCTGGGACGGTGGGACCAACCAAAATGCCCTTTTCAATGCGCCATTTTGTGGAGACAAATTTTTTACTGAGAAAAGATAGGAGCACGCATTCTATGTCTATTATTTCTATGGTTTACGTCCACGAAAATTTTAACTCGCTCACGCCATCCTGGCTAGTACAGTGAACTCTAATAATAACTGGAAGGCTAACTCCATAGATATAGGAGACCTAGATTGCTGACTCTAATGTTTTCTATAATGCACGCGCGTGACACTCATGAGCATTCAAAATGGCGGCTCAACCGGGCAAAAATCATAGAGCGAGATAGGGAAAAACCATGTTTTTTGCATTTTGCGTCGTCCTACAGCTTCCGATCCCGTTATATCACTTTATTTTGGAAAGAACTAACTGGTGTGAAGGTTTTGGATGAATATTTGTGCAATTTAAGTTTAATAAAGACGAAATAATCGATCGCTAAATGTTTTCTGAAATCGTCACAATGGTCGGTTGAGCAGTTCGAGACATTTTGTTGCAGAAAATAAAGGTTTTGGTTCTTTGGGTGCTTTTTTTCTCGAGGATCTCGGTTGGGATATTTAACAAGGAATAATTCTGTGAAGTATTTTGAAGTTAAAGACTATTTTACTTGATTTATTTAGTCTGCTGGTGCGAAAATTCTGATGCTCTGTTTAGTGTGACTTTGACAACCTCCTTGCTGCTGCAGATGTCAAGGGATCTCAAGTCGATCTATAGGGCCTGGACAGTGAAAAGTGATGAATCAATCAGGTTTGTAGAGAGAACTAGTGACAACGAAAGTTTTCAATGGAAACTAGTTTGAAGAAACTGCCTAATGTGTCTGGTATGCATCAAAAACCTTCACAGTTAGTATCTAGTTCTCTCCAAGAAACCTGATTGATTCATCATTGATAATCAAAAATAGATGGGACGGCATCTTCGTTTAGATATTTCTTGGATAAGTTGGATTGGCCTTTTATTGATTGCTCTCCACAATCAGCACTCTCCCCTTCAGGCACTCTCCCCTTGAGACAGCTGACTTAGCATCAGCACTTTCCCTTGACAAGTAAAATTGTCTGGTGTTAGACAGAGTAAAATAATAAAATAGGGCACAAAACGACTCAATGGGTTAACTAGACACATGGGCAGATAGGCCAGTTAACCCATTAAGTGCCACTGCTCTCCCCTTGATGAGTAAGATTGTCTGGCGTTTGACAGAGTAAAATAATAAAGTAGGGCGCATTGCAACTCGATGGGTTAATATAATCATCGGGTGTGAAGTGTTTCTCACACAAGACAGGGTTCGTACGGGTCCTGGAAAGTCATGGAATTTCAATATTCCAAAATCC